GCTATGCTTTATGTAGAACACATATACTGAAAGCCAAAAACAAATGTTTAGTAAGTGGTTAAAATGAAAGGGATTTTGCAATTTTTGTGTAGTGCTAGTTCTTTTGAAGGCTATAGACATCTATTCAAGATCAAAATCGACTCTCGAAAATGCTGAATATTCCCCTGGAGGTTAGTCTAAATAAAAACCCCAACTAGAAAGTCCAAATAAAATCCTTAACTAGCAAGTCCAAACAAAATGCCCAACTAGCAAGTCCAAATAAAATCCCAACTAACAAGTCCAAACAAAATGCCCAACATGTGGTCAATCGTAAGATCACTTTTAAAACACCCAACAATCAGTTACCAAGAATGTTTTATACGAGCTACCCATTATATGGTCATTCGTTGGTAGGTCCGTTCACATTTCTTGTACGCACGATAGAGGCTACAGTTTTTATCCGATCTTGATGAAACTTGGTATGCATGTATATATTGATAAGATCTCGGTCAAGTTCAAAATTGGTAATAATCTGATGAACAGTTTCAGAGTTATTGCCCTTGACTTAGTAAAATTTGCTTGTAGGCATAATAGAGACTACAGTTTTTATCCGATCTTGATGAAACTTGGTATGCATGTATATATTGATGAGATCTCACTTGAGTTCGTAATTGGTAACAATCAGATAAAGGGTTTCGAAGTTATTGCCCTTGTCAAATTCGGCTTGCAGGCACGATAGATACTACAGTTTTTATCCAATCTTGATGAAACTAGATATACATGATGAGTTCTCTGTCAAATGTGGAATTGGTAATAATCGGATGAACAGTTTCAGAGTTATTGCCTTTGACTTAGTAAAAACGAATCAAATTGTTGGAACGATAGAAACTACAGTTTTTATCCAACCTAGGTATGCATGTATATATTAATGAGATCTCACTCGAGTTCGTAATTGGTAACAATCGGAAGGAAGGGTTTCGGAGTTATTGCCCTTAACTTAGTAAAAACTTGTCAAATTAGGCTTGCAGGCACTATAGAGACTACAGTTTTTATCCAATATTGATGAAACTAGTGTGTACAGCGATGAGACATTATTTATGTTTGAATTTCATGATAACTTGATGAACTGTTTCAGGTTTTTGCCTTGACTTATAGATGATTTTAAGATTATTTGAAAATTTAATATTAAGCCACTAAAGATTTTGTTATCATTCTGACAGCTGGTAGTGGGCGTATGTTACCTTGCCTGGAAAGCTATAGTATTACTTTCTGTTGCAATTTGATTTTGAAATTCACTGTATTATTAACATTATTACCTTGAATCCAATATATGTTTATCTCTAGCAGAATATTTGAATTTTCTGCTGTACTCTTTAGTTTTTAAATCAACAGGAACAGGCCTGTACAATGGTATGCCCTTATAGGTTTGTCTTACTGTTTCACCCTCTGGATCATGTTCAGGTTTTCTCTGTTCAACTTCTTTCAAACTCTGCATCTTTTCATACTGAGTAAATAATTTCTGACGAATTTGCTGAAGACAGTCTGCTTGGTTTAGCATTTGATTTCTAGATTTGTTTGATGTTACACTCATGAATCCTTGACTATCAACAGGACTAATCTGAAGTAAAAGATCAAACTTGTACGAATTTGCATTTCATGTTTCTGAAACTTAGATGAAGATAGCTTGCCAGGCAAGGTAACATATGTCCACTACCAGCTGTCTGTAGTGGTTTCATATGTTAAACCAATCTTCCGATTGTGTTTTTTTATTAAGTCAAGGGCAATAACTCAAGATAGCTTGCCAGGCAAGGTAACATACGCCCACTACCAGCTGTCAGAATGAAAACAAAATCTTTAGTGGCTTAATAATAAATTTTCAAATAATCTTAAAATCATCCATAAGTCAAAGCAAAAACCTGAAACAGTTCAAGTTATCTTGAAATTCAAACATGAACAATGTCTCATCGCTGTACACACAATAAGTTGGAAACTGTTGATTCGATTATTACCAATTTCTAACTTGACCGAGATCTTATCATACATATCTAGTTCACCAAGATTGGATAAAAACTGTAGTCTCTATCGTGCCTACAAGCCAAATTTGACACGTTTTTATTAAGTCAAAGGCAATAACTCTGAAACCGTTCATGTTACCAATTACGAACTCGAGTGAGATCTCATCAATAGATACATGCATACCTAGGTTGGATAAAAACTGTAGTTTCTATCGTGCTTACAATTGAAATTTGATTCGTTTTTACTAAGTCAAAGGCAATAACTCTGAAACTGTTCATCCGATTCCATTCCGCGCCTGACCAACATCTCATCAATATATAGATGCATACCAAGTTTTATCAAGATCGGATACAAATACAAGGCAAATTTGACGCGTTTTTACTAAGTCAAGGGCAATAACTCTGAAACCGTTCATCTGATTATTACCAATATTACCGAGATTTCATCAATATATACATGAATACCAAGTTTCAATAAGATCAGATAAAAACTGTAGCCTCTATTGCGCCTACAAGAAATGTGAACCACAGATAGGGGCGACGACAATATACGTCCACATTTCTATGTGGGCGTATAAAAAGCTGTTCATTGAAAAATTGTCAAATTTGAACTTGACCTCCATCTTATCAATCCCAAAGCTCACACCAAGTTTCTATACAATCAAATGAAAACTGTAGTCTCTATTGTGTCCACAAGAAATGTTGAACAGACCGACGGACAGGGGCAACGACAATATACGACCACACATCCATATGTAAATTCCAAATAAAAATGAGAGTTGAACAAAACCAATCATGAAGATGATTAATTGTGATCTCAGTTGTAAAAGATAGCTTGCGAGGCCAGGTTACATACGCCCACTGGCAGCTGTCAGAAATGATAAAACAGTCTTTGGTGACTAAAGTACGAATGTTCTCATATTGAAGAAATTTTATTAGTTTGAATTCAATTACATATAATATATTTGCCAGTTATTTATGCTTAGTAATTCCACAAAATTTTTTAAAATCAATATCAATAACGCAAATACAACAAACAATTAAATCACACAGCTGTAATCAAGGGCAAAAAACAACTTTTGATGCGTGTTTACAAAGTCAAGGGCAATAACTCAAAAAATGTTCATCAAAAATATCTCTTGTTATAACTTGTCCGAGATCTTATCAATTCCAATGATCACACCAAGTTTCATCAGAATCGGTTGAAAACTGTAGCTTCTATTGTGCTCACAAACAAATTTTGACATCTTTTTACAAAGTCAAGGGCAATAACTCGAAAACCGTTCATCAAAAATGCATCAAGTTAAAACTTGTCCGAGATCTTATCAATTCCAATGATCACAACAACTTTCATCAGAATCGGTTGAAAACTGTAGCTTCAATCCTGCTCACGAACAATTTTTAACAAATTTTAAGACGTTCTAAGTCAAGGGCAATATCTCAAAAACCGTTCATCGAAAATGCGTCAAGTTAGAACTTGTCCGAGATCTTATCAATTCCAATGATCACACCAAGTTTCATCAGAATCGGTTGAAAACTGTAGCTTCAACCCTGCTCACGAACTATTTTTAACAAATTTCGACGCGTTTTAACAAAGTCAAGGGCCATAACTCAAAATCATTCATCAAAAATGTGTCAAGTTAGAACTTGTCCGAGATCTTATCAATCTAAAGCATCACACCAAGTTTTATCAAAATCAGATAAAAACTGTAGTCTCTATAGTGCTCACAAGAAATGTTGACGAACCGATGGACCGACGGACAGGGGCAACGACAATATACGACCACATATTCATGTGGCGTATAAAAACAGTTCATTGAAAATGCGTCAAATTAGAACTTGTCCGAGATCTTATCAATTCCAATGATCACACCAAGTCTCATCAGAATCGGTTGAAAACTGTAGCTTCAATCCTGCTCACGAACTATTTTTAACAAATTTTGACGTGTTTTTACAAAGTCAAGGGCAATAACTCAAAAAACGTTCATCGAAAATGCGACAAATTAGAACTTGTCCGAGATCTTATGAATTCCAATGATCACACCAAGTTTCATCAGAATCGGATGAAAACTGTAGCTTCAACCCTGCTCACAAACAATTTTTAACAAATTTCAAGGCGTTCTAAGTCAAAGGCAAGGACAATAACTCAAAAACCGTTCATCGAAAATATGTCAAATTCGAATTGACCGAGATCTTATCAATCTAAAGCATCACACCAAGTTTTATCAAAATAAGATAAAAACTGTAGTCTCTATAGTGCTCACAAGAAATGTTGACCGACAGACAGACGAACAGGGACGACGACAATATACGACCACATATTCATGTGGGCGTATAAAAACTGAATTTTTATTATTAATAGTTAAGAGTAAGCAAAGTATTAAGCTTAAATTTGTTTTTTTTTTTTTGTTAAAAATTATTGTTTCATAAAACTGATATAGTATGTTTTATCAATTTATACTGTGATATTGGAATGTTAAAATAGATTTGTTATACATGCATTGTTAATTTTCATGGATATAAAAGAAAGTATCTTATGAGAGACCAATTTTTTTCATTTTCCTCTTGGGTTGAACATTTGGGTTCCATTCCTAATATCTATACTTTGCAGAAAATCCTGTAAGAGCTGTTCTCTAGTCCACAACAGTCTTTCTCACAATTTGTATATTCTGGATATTTTTTTTTAAATAATGGAATATTACTGCTATGGCAATGTGAACACATTCTTTCCACTGACACTATAATACTTGCACATGTCAATAGTGAGATATTGTAATAAGAAATTATCATAATAACAATGGGATTAATTTGACTGGGGTAACAGTTGATAGCCCCTCCTTATTAAGAGCCTTTTATGCATATCTGATATAACACTAGCAATATTGTATAGGCTGTAGGAGAACTACCCGTTGAACATGTCATGGTTTATGTGGTCTCTGATTGTTATAGTTTTTCCAATATACTTCTATCATTTTGCTAAAAATTGTGAAATATTTCTATGATTTCATGTGCAGTTCTTATGTCAAATTCTACATCGAATCATTTTTTGATTCCGGTCGGTTCGGTAAGCAATGAGTGCCGCTATCAATTAATGCATTCGCTTTTTTGGTGGGTTTTTTTTTTGCGTAAGTGTCATTCAATATTATGAAGTCTTATCTTGAAGCTTACAGTCTTGTTATGCGACGCCATAATGACGACGTCAGGGAAGGTTGCCGGAACATTGCAGATTTACCTCCCTTGTTGAAAGGGGCGTGGTTATCTTGTCGACCGCAATACGTCAATTGCATGTACCATTAGTACAATACAATATAACTAAATACTTTCACTGTTCAAATAGTGCTCGAGTTGATATCCTGGCCCTACTGAAAATAAGTAGTATCCTGGTGCTATAAATGATGACACATTAATTTTAAAACACATCTTTCATGATATTTTGTTGTTCAATTATATCTTGGTAGCAATGTTGTCCAATAAAATTGTTTTAGTCATGAATATAAAAAGAAATTTAAATGTGCTTCACAATGTTTAAAGAATTATGACCTTTTATGTATTTCAGGCTTAATTGAAGACGTTTGTATGGTTGATGTTTCGTCGAATGATGATGAAAGTATTAGTAACATTGAATCAAATAGTCATGGTATGTAGATTGTACCGAATATGTAATTTTTTATTGCACAAATTCATTCTTGTGAAATGCTGTTGCCAAGTTAAAACTAATCCATATTTGGTATATTTGCCTATTCCTAGTTTCATGCAGAAAAATGGGACTATAAACTAGACAGGATCTGCTATTTTATGCACAATAAGTTTGGTGAGGCTTTTAAATTATTGAAATTTAGATGAAGTTCCAATGGAAATTGAACAACATTTAAACGAGTTGTTTACAGATCTCGCTCCTGATGATAACGGTGAAGTTTTGTTCGATGTGACCACCAGTCCGATTATAGATATGAAGCTGTATGGTGTTGACAACAAAATGTGCAAATCTAGGTATGTTCATAACAGGAGACTTGCAACTTCACTAATGTTGTTAGAACTACAAATGTTAGTACAATTCTTAAACAATCTTGATGCAGTAAATGGATTGTTGAACTCTGTTACATTTGTTTAATATATGTGTAATATTATATAGATTAAAGACTGGTATGTTTGAGCTTATTGCAATTCCGTATGTCTCTAGAAAAAGAGACAAAGAAAAACTTTTTGTAGCTGAGGTAACTTAATTGAGTTCAAAGTGTTCGAAATTAATCAAATGTGTTTGAATTATTTTGTTTGTTATTGTTCAATGTTGGTGTTCCACAGATTTTATTATTACATACTTGCCTATCTATGGTATAATAGATATGTCATACTTGCCAGCATATTTTCTACAAATTAATGCTATTTTGATCATTTTAATTTCCTTTGTCAATTGTTTTTTAAATATGTTTTGTCCGATTTTTTAAAATTCCTTAATAATGATCAATCAATCTTTTAACTAGCATGGAATATCATGTCTATTGAATAATTGGATTATTTTAAATTTTTTCAGATTCTTGATGTTAAAGAAGAGAATCTTTGGCTAAGATATATGGTCGAACAGGATTAAAGAAAATATGTGTGGCCTGCAAAAGAAGACTGTTCACTAGAGCCATTTGATAGGGTTAAAAAGGTTTTGAGTTCGCCATTGCCAACTGTGGTTGGAACTCGATTCAAGTTCCAATTTTCAGTGGATGGTGATAGAATATATTAATTAATGATGTTACTTCTACTTGTCATTTTGAGAATTTTACATGCAACTATTTTTATGCCTGTTGAGAAGGTTACTTTCCATCCTTATTTTGAGAACGTTACTCTTTGTTCATCCACTATAATGTTATCAATTTTTTGTTACAAACTGTTGTATTTCTACTATTTTCATTAAAGAATTCAAATCAACAGCAAATACTGATATTAAAAACATTTAGCTGTTATCAAATTGTTTAATTAATATAATTTATCTCTTTGTAGCACTGATACAGAATAAATATGCAAAAAATGTCCATCTTTTTCCTTGTAGTACAAATTTTAATGTAAAGTGATCACACCACTTGAAAAATATTAAATATTTATGTGAAAATATTAAGCAGAGTATCATACTAGTACCTTAAACTAGATATAACTTGTAGAAACTGAATATAATTGGTGGTTTAGGATACTTATTTTATCATCATTCAAATTTATGAATTTAGGTGGTGCAGTATAAACACTAACCACTTGTCTGGTGATTAACAATTCATCTTATAATATTCATTTCTGCTTTATTGAATGATGTCTCCAGATGGATGAAAAAAGTTTTAAGCTCTATATTCACTTTTAATTTTATCTACTCTTTGGGAGTTAATGTTGCCTTTACTGTGCAAATAGCCAAGTGCATTATCACCCAAAATATTACCCTAATACAATACGTTGGAGAATGAGATTGATATCATATGCCGAATAAGAGAAGGTGTATACATATATATTTTAATACCCTGCAGAAGTTGTGACAAATGGAGTTATGGCTTGGTCATCTACTCAAGGAAACCGTCACATTCAAATTGATTTAAAAGTTTTGGCCATAGACCGGAGCGGATGTGTGCTTCATAAATTAAGGGCATTACTTCTTAGTAGAGAAGGTTGTTGGCGTATGAATCGCAGTCTGGGAAGGCAAAACAATTAGATAAAGTTCAAGATTTTTTGTTCTTATTTTGTACAGTATTATAAAATGGCTCTCCCAGTAGGCCTATCTTGTTTATCTAAAGTTTGAGTCTCAACAAAACTAGAAAGAAAACGCATCGGCGTTCGGAGATCTGAAAGATTATTTTTATTGAAACTTATCATCTGCTTAATAATTCCAGTGAAGGTTGTTTGCAATCTAATCAAGGTCATCTTTCTATGAATATGTAACTATTTATAGTAACATGGGGACGTGATCTATTTTGCTCCTTACAAACAAACAATTTGCTTGCACATTCGGTTCACCCCAGAAGGGTGTTGAAATACCGAAATGTAATTGTTTAGGAGTAGTTCAGCTGGATTAAAATGAGATTCTGAAGTAGAATTCTGAGCAATATTGTTCTACAAACTTTAAATCCCGACTAATCCACGATCTGATGAGAACTATTTTGCATTGCCATTTGATTTCATTGAAAATATAGACGATCGTCTATGTGCTTGAAAATTCTGACAAAATTTGAATTTATTTATGGAAATATTTTCAAAAGATGGTTTTTTTTTTGGGTAAGAATTAGCCTTTGTAAAATGCAGTGCCGCACCGTTATTAAAATATGGCCTTCAAGGATGAGCAATGTTATAAGCTGTCACTAGCGTAACGGTAATCATTTTATAACAGCTGTATTTTAAGGTCAGAGGTTTACCACAAGGCTTCTTTTACAACTAAAGAGAGCTTGCGCTGCAAGGTAACATACGCCCACTGGCAGCTGTCAGAAATAATAAAACAGTCTTTAGTGATTAAAGTACGAATTTTCTCATATTGAAGAAATTATTCAAATTTTTTAAAATCAATATCAATAACCCAAATACAACAAACAATTAAATCACACAGCTCTAATCAAGGGCAAAAAAACAACTTTTGACGCGTGTTTACAAAGTCAAGGGCAATAACTCAAATATTCATCAAAAATATCTCGTTAGAACTTGTCCGAGATCGTATCAATTTCAATGATCACACAAAGTTTCATCAGAACTATTTTTAACATATTTCAACCCGTTTTAACAAAGTCAAGGGCAATAACTCAAAAACCACTGCGTCAAGTTAGAACTTGTCCGAGATCTTATCAATTCCAATGATTACACCAAGTTTCATCAGAATCGGTTGAAAACTGTAGCTTCAATCCTGCTCACGAACTATTTTTAACAAATTTCGACGCGTTTTAACAAAGTCAAGGGCAATAACTGAAAAACTGTTCATCGAAAATGCGTCAAGTTAGAACTTGTCCGAGATCTTATCAATTCCAATGATCATACCAAGTTTCATCAGAATCGGTTGAAAACTGTAGCTTCAATCCTGCTCACGAACTATTTTTAACAAATTTCAACGCGTTTTAACAAAGTCAAGGGCAATAACTCAAAAACCATTCATCGAAAATGCGTCAAGTTAGAACCTGTCCGAGACCGACGGACAGGGGCGACGACAATATACGACCACATATTCATGTGGGCGTATAAAAACCGTTCATCGAAAATATGTCAAATTCGAACTTGACCGAGATCTTATCAATCTAAAGCATCACACCAAGTTTTATCAAAATCAGATAAAAACTGTAGTCTCTATAGTGCTCACAAGAAATGTTGACGGACGGACGGACGGACGGACGGACAGGGGCGACGACAATATACGACCACATATTCATGTGGACGTATAAAAATTAAAATTTTTCTGAATTTTTTGATTACCGTCAGAGCACGTTTAACAGGGTTGCAGTATTGCCCCATTTTGGATAATTTTACAGTTGAAATAAAACCATTTCTGTCGTAGAAATTATATGTGAAATGGCATTTTGTACTGAAAATTCAGTTGTAGCCACCTACTTTGGTTGTATAGCCACCTACTCTGATTCTTATAGACACTCCTGAATCATACTCTTCTCTTGAACCTCTTTGGGGCGATACTGAATAATATAACCAATTTTTGAGAAATTCGGCAAGAATTGTGCCTTATAGACTATTTACAAGCTAAAAATTGAAAGCATTTTTAGTAAAAAGTCATTAATTTTGATGTGATAACAAAATCTCACATCAAGTTTTCTCGCAATAAATCAAGAATTGTGCAATCAAGAGTGCTTAAGACCTAAAAATTGAGCATGTTTTCTAGAACAAGAGCAATAATACATACTAGATGCGTATATAAGTTATGAGTAGAAATGTTACTCTACCTGTTCCATAAGGTGTTGACGCAAATTCTGTGGAAGCCATTCAGCATTTTCAACTTTAAATTTGATTTGTACTTGAGATTTCACTAAAATAACCAAAATGAACAAATTTAAAGGAAAAAAATTCAAAATTTAAAAATGTAAGATAGCCTGCCAGGCGACATAACATCAGTCCTGGGCAATATTTTAAGAATAATGTTTTTGTGTGATTAAATGGGCATAATTATGTCTGATACCAAGAACAATTTTAGATTATATCGTATTTATTAGATGATTTTAACAAACTTACAATACAATTTAAATATAGCTTGCCAGGCACAGTATGATACAACCACTGACAGCTGTTAGAAATGATCACAGAGTCTTTGGGGACTAAAATAGAAAAAGATACCTTGATATATACCCACTGGCAGCTTTAATTATTAATAAAAATATTCGGCATGTGTTTCGCCATTAAGACCAGTATATGGGGTGATACTGAACAATATTACCATGTTTTGTCAAAATCCCGCAAGAATCAAGCAATTAAGTGTTGACAAGCTTCACTAATTGAATGTGTTTTCAAGATTGAGGTCAATAACTCATATTAAAATACATATAGTTCTCAATTTTTTGATTTTCAGTAAGGTTCATCCATTGGTGATAATAAACAATTTCACAATGTTTCGTTAAAATCCATCGAGAATTGGGCCTTCTGGAGTGTTCACTGTAGCATCACATCAAACCAAGTACAACCCACAGGAAGTCGTCCTGATAGCTACTCATTGCTATTTACACGTCACTTGTCTCCTGTTCTTCATCGTAGCTGGCTCTCTCTCTCTCTCTCTCTTCATGATTTTATAATAAATCAGCAGTTGTCAGTGGCCTCATAGATCATAACATGGTGGCAGAGGTAAATACTTTAAATGCCAGAGAAGAAGAACATAGCAGTTAGACCAGTCGGGAGACAAGTGAGCGAAAAGTTGTTTTCATAAACGTTGCCAAGGATGCTCACAAGTTTGAAAGCAATATGGCGGCTCCCTCTGAATAGATCGTACATGAAGGAAATTTACTAGAAGTTGCACTGTATTGAGAATTGAAATAATCTACAGAAATGCCAGGCGGAGAAAAACCAATGATGAAGTGGGATTTGAGTGATAGATCTTCAAATTTCGAGTTATTTAGAAGAAGGTTTGAGATTTTTTATATCAACGAAACTTCCAACAATCCTTTTGTCAATGGGGGACGAAGGTATTAACATTTTCGATAAATGGAGACTCACCAACGAGCAAAGGACAGACTCAGGAACAGTCCAGAAAGTCTTCAAGGCTGGAAGAAATTGGTGATTAGAAAGATACGAGTTACAGCATTTGAGACAGACAGAATCTGAAAATGTCGATGACTTTGCCATGAGATGCCAGCATGAAGCAGCCAAATTCAGGTTTCAAGAAGCCGAAATTGAAGAGACTCATTGAGCAGTTGATTCTTGGAATAAAACTGGAAGAAGTCAAGAAGGAACTACTGAACGAAGATCAGCTTACATTGAGGAAGCCATAAATAAGGTCAGAGTTCACGAAGCAAATATAGGATACCTAAAGAAAATGTTAGCCTTTAGTGGAGAATGCCAGAAGTCGACAATTGTCAACAAGAAGTTTGAATGTCCCAAATGTGGTCTTAGACACGATGATAGACGTTGTCGTGCAAAACAAGCCCTTTG